CAGCCTCACACCGAGGGCCTATCCACGTCATCATTTACCCAGAATGCTTTGTGTGGAAATAAAATGGCTCCGTCCGTGTAATAAATTTTTTAACTTTTAGTTTAAAAATGATTAAAACTGAACATCCTACAGTAATTTACAGTCTTTATTTTATAGTTAAAATATATGTTTATTGAATAAAGTTTAATATTACAACTAATCATGGATCCTTTTAATGTAGAAATTACAAATGACCAGTGGCTCCATATGTGGAAGGTTCATCACTCATTGACTAAACCACAAATKTGGAGGGAGTTTGCATGGAAAAATCAGATCCGTTTTCTTATCACAAAAAATGAAAGATAAACAATCTCAAAGTTATCATAAATGTTGGCAATGATGTGAAACTTTTAATGTAGACCATTCTCACATCTTTTGGAAACAGAATAAAAGAACTATGTTTACAGAAATGATATCCAACGAGCAACAGAAAATACTAGGATATGGAATACCAAGAACTTGTTTAGATCTTTATCTTGGCAGATTTTCAGAAAGGACTATGACCCCTCCTATTGACTGCCTAATCAAACTACTGCAGGTAGCAGCCAAGAAAGACATCACCAAGTACTGAGGAAAGGAAACAATGCCAACAAAAGCTCAATGAACAACAATTATAGAAGAAATATTTTTGCTGGAAAAATTGAAACACAAACTGAGGCTACAAGAGCCACAACTGTGGATGAAGACCTCTGTCTCTTTCTCCACACTCTGCTTTATGACTGATGTTAGAACTGATAAGGTACCAACTATTGACAGAACATCACTTTAAAATCACCAGATTATCTCTTTAAGTTTGGGTTTGAACAATTTATGTTTCACTGCATTTCTCATTAAACTATGATAGCATTCAACATTTTGAAAATGGGGTTAGATTTACAGAAACGTACGARGGACAGATGACTTGTTTTCCTTTTTTCCCTTTCTTTGTAGATTTTCCATCTTTGGCTGTGTTCWGCTGCCAACAGCAAAACAGCAACAGCAGCAAAACTGCACGTCTCACTCCAGAACTCATTGGGCCTGAAAGACAGAAACATTGGCATCAGCTCATTCTATATTTAAATTCAACTGTAAGTCAGCAAATGTGATGCAGGAATTTACTGCTCTCTGGATTTATTTTACTATCTTGTTTTTATCATTTGAGAAGAAACAAGAACCGGGACCTCGTGTATACACAAAAGGTTTGTGTATACCCTTTTTCATCCATAACTCAAATGAGCATGAAAATTTGAACAGCCCTACACAAAACATCATGGCTGGTGTACGCACATTTCTGTGGTTCTGATTCCATTGGCGACACTTAGAAGTGATTCTTGGAAACTGTTAATAATGTGAAAATGATTATTGTTCACACCAGACACACAWGATTAACAATTAATGCTTCCAAATGTACGCAGTTAGATAAAAGATTCACAAAGTTTTGCCAAAAAATACTTTTACAAGAACAGATCCAACCTTGGTGGAGGACATAACAGGTGCAATATGCAGAGTGTGTAATACACAGATGGTGTATTTTAGCAGGGAACATGTACACTCACCGGCCACTTTATTAGAAACACATTGCTAGTATATGTATATGTATATATACATATACTATATGTACGTATATGTAAAATGTATATATACATTGCTAGTACCAGGTTGGACCCCTTTTGCCTTCAGAACTACCTTAATTCTTCATGGCATAGATTCAACAAGGTAGAGAGTCTGGTCCATATTGACAAGATAGGATCACGCAGTCGCTGCAGATTTGTCGGCTGCACATCCATGATATGAATCTCRCYTTCRAKCACATCCCAAAGATGCTCTYTTGGATWGAGATCTGGTGACTGTGGAGGCCATTTGAGTACAGTGAACTCATTGTCATGTTCAAGAAACCAGTCTGAGATGATTCACACTTTATGACATGGAGCGTTATCCTGCTGGAAGGAGCCATCAGAAGATGGTGCACTGTGGTCATAAAGGGTTGGACATGGTGAGAAGATGGTACACTGTGGTCAAAAAGGGATGGGCATGGTCAGAAGATGGTACACTGTGGTCATAAAGGGATGGGCTTGGTCAGAAGATGGTACACTGTGGTCATAAAGGGATGGACATGGTCAGCAACAATACTCAGGTAGACTGTGGTTTTGATACGATGCTCATTTGGTACTAATGGACCCAAAGTGTGCCAGGAAAATATCCCCCACACCATTGCACCACTACCACCAGCCTGAACCATTGATACAAGGCAGAATGGATCCATGGTTTCATGTTGTTGATGTCAAATTCTGACCCTACCATCTAAAAGTCACAGCCGAAGTCGACTCATCAGACCAGGCAACGTATTTCCAATTTCCTATTGTCCAGTTTTGGTGAGCCTGTGTGAATTGTAGCCTCAGTTTCCTGTTCTTAGCTGACAGGAGTGGCACCCGGTGTGGTCTTCTGCTGCTGAAGCCCATCTGCCTCAAGGTTGGATGTTCTTGTGTGTTCAGAGATGCTCTTCTGCAGACCTCAGTTGTAACGAGTGGTTATTTGAGTTACTGTTGCTGTTCTATCAGCTCTAAACAGTCTGGCCGTTCTCCTCTGACCTCTGGCATCAACAAGGCATTTCCGCCCACAGGACAGCCGCTCACTGGATATTTTCTTTTTTGGACTATTCTCTATAAACCCTAGAGATGGTTGTGSGTGAAAATCCCAGTAGATCAGCAGTTTGTGAAATACTCAGACCAGCCCGTCTGGCACCAACAACCATGCCACGTTCAAAGGCACTCAGATCACCTTTCTTCCTCATTCTGATGCTCAGTTTGAACTGCAGCAGATCGTTTTGGTCATGTCTACATGTCTAAATGCATTGAGCTGCTGCCATGTGATCGACTCATTCAACATTTGTGTTAATGAGCAATTGGACTGGTGTACCAAATAAAGTGTCCGGTGATTGTATTTATTCACAGAGGATTTTCTGATCCACAAGGATGACTGGCTTATCAACCATTTCCAGCTTCTAAGAATAATCTTTTTAGATTTGTGATTGGAGCTGCAGCTGCTCTGGAAACGTGACACACCAATGAGCCATGCGCTGCTGAAACTGGAGTTCAACGTGTGTTTCTCAACGGGGAGCTGACAGACCGGTCAGGAGCGTGCCAGTCCACCCTGAGCTGAGCCGAGCTATTCCAGGTGCCTCTGRCGTTGTGTCCTTGGGCAAGATACTTCACCTGTCTTGCCTACTGATGGTGGTTYGAGGGTCTGGTGGTGCCGGTGCATGGCAGCCTGTCTCTGTTAGTGTGTCCCAGGGCAGCTGTGGCTGTAGCTTACAAACAAAAGTGATGGTGAAGTGTAAAGCACTTTGGGGTCCATATGGACTGGATAAGGTMCTATATAAGTTCAAGCCATTTACCATATACCATTTGAGGCTCTGCAACTTGTTTCTTCTTGTCGACCATTTAATTAATAAATAAATATCTATGTTCTACCAAACATCTTAGTTCCTCTGTGTTTACAGTAAATATGTTAATAAACTCAGGTGCACACATTTATATATAATAATTTATTTTCCTGAAACTAGAAATTATTTCTTATCATGCAAGGATCACATAAACATGTCTGTTTCGTTCTGTTCTGTCTTAATAGAACTATACAGAATGGATAGTTAAAGCAGTATTGTTGCTTACTGTAACTTTATTAAACAAGTGCAGAACTACAGTACATGTGTTAGCTCCATAGCCCACTCTGGGTCTGTCATAAGCCGTGTTTCCATCCAATTCTAATTCGAATTTTGAGTGAATTTTAAAAATTTCGCAAAAAGGAAAGAACGAATAAATGTGAATCAGACGTGTTTCCATCAATTGGCTTGAAGCGAATCAGTTACGTCAGACACATGCGTGTAGTAAACAGGAAGTAAAAGTCGCATCTCAGGAAAATGGAGAGAAGTTATCAGAAACGTGTTGCTACTGTCGGGAAAGTTGTTATTCTGTCATCAACTAGTTTTGGCGATTTTACATGCTGCCTGGAGACGTAGAGAAAGAAATGCAATTCTCTTCACGTTACGGGATTAACTGAGAATATGCTGACAGTGGGAGGAGGGTCCAGCTGCAGTSGCTCTGGTACCGGTACCAGTTTCGGACAGACAGCGAGAACAGCTGATCAACATGTGAGGTTAATGTTCGCTACGTCAGAACTTATTCAACAAACGTGTTTCCATCTCTCCTTTTGCACATTAACTCTTTTTCGAAAAAAACAAAAACCACCTCAAGCGAGCGTAATCAACTTTTATATGAATTAGAGGAAGTTTTTTTCCGAATCAAGCCGTTTCCATCCAGCTTTACTGATGTGATACTTCAAAATGCGCATTAGAAACCTTGATGGAAACACGGCTATAGTGATGTGTCGGTCGTGAACAAACCGGTTCAAAGCCGGCTCTTCTACGTGACGGATGAGAGCCGGTTCCCCTCTAAGARCGAGCCATTTTTTAAGCCTTAGAAAGAAAAGCAGCATGGTAAATTGTACAACCAATCAGAGAACAACAACAAGCAGCGGAACCAGTCAATGAAGGGTTATACCATCAAGCAGAGAGAGGAGGGGTGGTTGGGGTCTGCGCACAGTGCTCGTGCATGGCAAATGGGAGCAAATGAAAAGACAGAGCAGGCAAGAGAAAGAAGGCCGGAAGGAAAAGAAGCTGTGTTTGTCTGCACTTTAAAAACCATGATAACGCTGTAGCAGAATGTCTCATTTGCAAGAACAAAATATCTTTTCAAGCAGGATCCATGAACAATCTTCACAGACATTTGAGAAAAAACACTTCCAACTGTTCAGCTGGAAGACAGGCGGGCTAGCATGCCTGTTTCTGTTCCTGCCTCTTCAKCACCCAAAGCTGCTGCTCCTCCAACACCTGCACCATCAGGTGCACGCCAACCAACAGCAACACAGAGCTCTATAAACCCTTTTGTGACARTGACACCAGCAAAACAAAACAAAACTGATGAAAAGTTGGCCATAATGATTGCACAAGATTTCCAACCCGTTTCAGTTGTAGAGGAGAGGGGATTTAAAGGTTACTCAGAAGCTCTCAATCCATCATATGTACTACCAGGAAGAAAAACACTCTCCCAAATAACTGTTCCAAGACTGTATGAAAGAATATTCAGTACTACAAGAGTTAAAAAATCAACAGCTGTGTGTCTTACTACTGATTGCTGGAGTGCAAGGACCACCACATCACTCATGTCTGTGACATGCCACTTCATTGAAGGTTATAAAATGGTGGCATGCCTGTTGGACTGCTTTGAGCTAAATGACAGACACACTTCTGAGAACTTGGCAGAAGWACRGAGACGAGTAACAAATGAGTGGGACATTGAAAGCAAAGTTGTTTGCTGTGTTACTGACAGCGCAGCAAACATTACAAAAGCCATTAGACTGATGAAATGGCCACATCACCCTTGCCTTGCTCACACCATCAACCTCACAGTCTGAGAGGGCCTCAAGGTGATGAAGCCAGCTATAGATAAAGTGAAAGTCATCGTTGAATACTTCCACAAGAGCACAATAACCACAGAAAAGCTTAAATCCACACAGCCCCACATGGGTTTACCTGAACTAAGACTCAAACAAGACTGCATAACAAGGTGGAATTTAAGCTTTTATACGCTGAGACGACTTCTGGAGTGCAAAGATGCTGTCATCTGGACCCTGGCCCTGTTGAGTGCCCCAGTTTACACAATCAGGCAAGAAGAATGGGAAGTTCTCCAAGAGATGTGCACCACTTTGGAACCCTTTGAGCAAGTC